AGGCATACACATACACAGAGAGAAAGGGGGGGAGGTGGTGGGTCAGCTGGCAACTTAAACGAGCATCCGAAAGGATTTTGTGTACAATTTCCGTTTTATGACTCTCCAGAGTGGCAATAAATCTCACACAAAACTATTTCCGTTGCATTCGAGCTGCTGCTTAGCCCTCTCACATGCAACCAAGGATCGGGAAAGTGGCGAAGGACGGCGGCAGTAAGGATAGTGCTGCACATTATCTTGTGCGCAAATCCGAAAAATCCGAATCCATTCGCTATAAATGGCGGTCGTCTGGCTGCGGCTTTCATTTTTGGCCCTTATCCCCTTTCCCCGTTATTCCCCTTCAAACTCCTTTGGTCCCGGGTCATTGTCGGCCACCAAAACGGCTCGAGCCCCTACTCATCCCCTGCGAAATCCCTCTTTCAGCTGCTTATGACTCGTCTGGGTCGCGTGTTTTGTTTGGCCCGGGGCACGTACTCGCAGGACTAGCACACTGCAAAGTATCTATTGAAATAATTTATTTAAAAATAATATGTAATTAATATTGAATTTTAGTGTTATGATCAATTAGAAATGTCAGCTTAAACTGACTCTTGCACATTCGACCTTTCTTCTATTGCAAGAAATAATAATAATAATGTTTAAATTCAATTAATTTATTCATAATAAAGTTGTGGACTCTATGAATCTTTTTATTCCAAAGATTGTGTAATTTTTTCTGCATATTAGTTTTTTTTTTTTAATTTTCAGTGTACTAGTCGCATACTGGTTTTTTTGCCAGCCCGCTTTTACAACTATTTCCGCTGGTTGTCTTTGAGCTGAGTGCGCTTTTAGTGCGGCATCCGCTTCGGCTACGCCCATCGAAAATTATGAAATACTTGCACCGAATCAAAGATATAATAATAATAATAATAAAGCACAAAAAATAAGGAGAGATTTGCAAGTCAATTTGTCAAGCACTAAGAGAGATTTGCTGGCTCGTCCTTTGTCCTCGTCATTAGGGCCAAAGTCACGATTCAACTTTATTGAAAGCACTTTAATTTAATGTGCGTGGATTTTGCTTTTCCCACTGCTGCTCCCTCTTCTCTGATTTCTTATTTTTTTTTTTTGCATAATTTTGCATAATCCTTTGGTGTATGAAGTTTGCTGCTTCTTCTGCTGTTGCTTTTGCTGTTTCATCTTCTTCTTCTTTTGCTCTTCTTCTTTTTCCTGTTGCAGCAGGGCGTATACGTAACGTGTAATTTCATTGCATTTGCATGTTTTATAAGACACAACGCTGCATCCCTTTTCCACTAACATAATCTATCCCGTTTTCGTGTTTGTTGTACGTACCCACACTCTCTAAATGTAATATTTCTTTTAGGGGATTCTTTCTCTGCTTTCATTTTGCCGGCTCAAGCAAAGTTTTATTGACAGTAAACGTGGGCGATACGAAACTAAAAGTTTTCCCCAGCTCCGGGGATTTCCCTGCCGAGCCACACATGCCCAAGAAGCTGTGATTCATAAAACAAAAGCGGAGAACGCTTCAAAAATCGAAAACATTTTGTTTGCAAGTGTTTAAAACCGAACTTTTACACGTGTCCAGCATGTGAACTGCCGAATATTGTGTGTCTGTTTGAGTCTGTGTGTGTGCCAACAATAAAATGCCTGGCATTAGGAGCTCGGGAAATTCTTGAGAGCATTTCTCGCATTTGCTTATTGTTGGCCAAATATAACTTTATCTGAATTGGCTAAAAACTTTGCAACACGTGTTACTCCATGTGCCCGGAGCATCGAGTAAGCCATTTTTCAAGAGTATAACTTTACTTAGATTGGCCCATAAGTGGCAGCAGTTTAGTCGAGTTGGATTTTGATATTATACGAGTACTCTGTGTGTATTTGTGGCATACACTAAGAAAGTATTATAATTGAGCTCCAGATTGGTAACCAGAATGGTAATGAAATAAATATCTGGATCTAAATTACCAAGTAATCTTCAGTGCTTTTCAGTCCCTTTGCCATCCAAAACGAAGGTCTATCTCACCAGCGAAGAGATGTCAAGCAACATGTAATTGAAAACCACTAACGAGTTCAATCCCTGTCAGCCGTAGCTGTCAAACCAGCTAAAATACCTAATTAGGCTGCACCGTAAAATGCAGGGAGACAGGTGACAAAGGAGGCCAAAACTATGCTGGCAAAGATGGGAGTTCATTAGGCGACATAAACAGACTTTTTGGCCAACGTTTTCGTTTCACTGCCACCGTCGGCAACGCTGCGTATGCGTAATTTATGTGCAGGTGCTTGCTGAACTGCTAAACGAAATGCTAATGCGGTAAACTAAATGCAAAAACCATTTTAATTAGCACGAAAATCATTGTAACTCGTTAACGCTAGCGGCTGCCATGGTAGTTACAAGGGGAGGAAGGTTATCCGGGATATGTTACCACCGACCCCCCGCCAAAACCACCCATCGACATGTAGCCGAAGAAAAACAACTGCATGCCCGCCTCGCAAAAAGGAGTCGAACATGGCCAACGACAGGTAGGTGCGGATGCCACGAGAAGAGGCTAAAACACAAGGATGGAGAAGGTACATTGTTGAAGGTTTGTAAGAGTTTGATTATAAAAAAAGAAATTAAGATTAGAATGAAAGTTTCCATGTAGTTACTAGTTAAAGAATTATATGAAGTATTTAAAGTAAACTTGATACCTTAGCACCTTACAATCCTAAATAGTTATCTAGATATTTACCATCACTGATAGGATACCCACTAGATATCTTGAAAAAAACAAGACCCAGCTCTTGGCATTTTTCCGCATTTTCCTGGAGCACCGGACAGGCTGCTGATGAAGAGATAATATTGTGATCACGTTCGGCAACCTGCTGAAATGCAAATACTTCGCTCTTCGTTTTGCTCCCTTGCCAGTCGAACCGTGCATGTAATGCGAGTCGCGCTAATGAAACGTTCATTAATCATACGCCACTTGGCAGCGGTCGGAATTATTTTGGATATGGGGCCAGGGATCAGGTTAGTTAGCGGAGCCGACTCTGCAGCCGGGAATGCGCCTTCAAATCTGACAATGCCAAGTGCCAACTGCCAACACGAGGCGCACACGGAGGCCAAAGGCCGTCGGATCTGGAAGCTGGTAGCTGCACTGAAAAACTAGAGTGGTTTGTTCACAAAAAATATATATGTTTTATATGATTCACACTTTGCTCATAAGTAGAATTGCACGTAAAGTTAAAAATAGTATCCAACTATTACCCGTTTAAATGTAATATAAGTTTGTGTTGTTAATAGTAATTAATATAACATAAATTCAATTTTAAAGAATTATATAAATTATGTTCTCAATCGATTAACAAACGACAACTTACATATTTTAATCATAAGTTATATATTTAATTAGCATAGTTTTTTTCCTGTGCATTCGATGGCGTTACGTGTGTATCTGTGGGCATTAGTGTGAGTGTCCCAGGTAGTTAGTTAATTAATATTCCCGTTGCCGCACGTTTCATGTTTGCATTAATTTGGCAGGTAACTTGTCAACATTGTTGTTGTTGCCGCTGTTGGCCCTTTTGGCCTGATGAGGATGTCGGTGATGCCGGGCTTTGTCTAACAAGCGCCACACAGATACCCACACACATACACCCGCACACACACACGGAGAGGATATCCACTCACAGATAAACCCACACAAAGGCAGTCGTCGAGGAAGCACGCGCACACGCTTGCCGAGCTGCTTAATGTATGTTCTTGGCTTGTAATTAGCAAAGATCGAAGTGATTTAATTACTTGGGCAAACTTTTAACATTGTCTACATGGCATACAAAAACTTTGCTGCATAATCAGCCAGAGACGTTTGCCGAGCTGTTATCGATATCACTGGATATTAGGCCTTGTTCACCCGGCTTATAATCAGATGTGGTATTCTTATCGTCGCTGAGAAATGAATATAATTAGAGTTTGGCAATTGCCGTCGTCAGCGCTCTAATAAGCCTCTAATTAAGTACTTGGAAGGGCTTGAAAGTTCAGAGTTCCGCCCTAATGTTCAAAAAATGAGTTAATTTTGTTGTTAATTTAAGTTGTTGTCCCTGATCATGGCTTCCCAAATTTAAAGTTAACCAAAGTTTAAAGCCGTATTCAACTATTGATTGGTGTTAATTAGCTATGTTCAATGTGAAACCTGATTTAATAGCAGTTGCTCGTTCAAAAATCAAAGCTTTCCATCAACCCTATTAGCTCATTGAAATTCAAATGAAATTCGAATGAAGAATTTCTGACAGCTCTTTGAAAGGCTTTTGCAACACGAGAATCGTATAAACGCAGTAACAGACACCCACCCATACAAACATGGGCTAATCAGGCTTATTTGTTCTGTCTGTGTTCGCTGGCCTGACTTTTTGCCAAACTGACTTTTATTAGAAGCGACAAAAACACAGCTAACGATTGCGCATACGCCGCGTTGCCCGCACCACCGACCCCAAAAACCAAACTCAAAACCATCTCTGTCCGCCCGTTCAGCGAGTGTTACGTCGTGCTTTGCGGCTCCGCATGTACAAGTAATCTAATTAGTTTTATGCTAATTAGCACGCGGCTTTAATTTAATAAATTATTATAGCGCATTATTTGGCCAAAACTACACGCAACCATCGAGGAATGGAGCGAGGGTGGACAGCGGAATGTTTACGGCTCGACTGATTTGCGTTGTCATTTCGCAAATCGCTGGGCAAAACCAAAGATTAGGTTAGTTAAAGTGGTTTGAAGCAGACATCAACAATTAAAGAGATTCGTGGGTAAGCACCCAAATTAAAGTTCAGGATTTGATTCGTTTTACCAGATTAACAATTTGTTAGTTAATTATGGGAAATGGAAAATGTAAATATAAGTGGCATACCTCTATGAATTTGTCATCTTAACGTTAAAAAAACTGCATCATTGGATTGTTTTTCTTTTCTCAAAATTATCATGATGAATTGAAACTTTTTAGAACCACCCAAGTTTTTTAATAAAACAAAAAAAGTAACATTCAACACTACTAGTAAATTTAATTAAAACATTGGCTTGACTTTTAGTTACTTTTACATGTGCGCAATTTAATAAACAGATCAAGCTTAATAGACGGCAGATGGACGTTAAACATTCGATTTTGAAGAGGAACACAATCTATAGTTTGTAGGCGCGTCGCATCATTAGATCGAAATAAGCATCGTTATCGATCGAGGCGCTGATAGTGGCATAGTAATTGATAAACTCCTCCCTGGTGACAATTCCATCCGGATTTGGAGCACCCTCCTCAAAGTTCTTCAGGAATCCCGTGAAAATCTCGGCTTCTGTCATCTCGCCACTCAAGTATTTCGGATGATCTCGCACCGAATAAACGTTCTTTAAATCAGCAATAGTTATTTGACCATCGCCATTGGCATCCATCTTGTCGAAAGCTTTTTCGATAATGCTGATTCGAGAATTATTCATAGGTGGCTAAAACGGGATATCATGTTAAGATTTAATATTAGCCTTTAATTTAAAGAACACTTACCCGCAGTTTCACCAGAAATTCAGTCATGTTAATATTGCCACTTCCATCTGTGTCGAAGCTGAAAATCAAAGTAAACACAATAATAATTGCACAATTTCTTAGCATACATTTTAGGGCTCGACTGATTTCGCCAGCTAAGCTTCATGTCCAATTTGTCATTTCAATTTAAATTGGCATTTACCAACCTGCTGAACATATCCTGGATCTCCGAATCACTCAACTCCAGACCAATATCCGTGACTCCTTTTTTGAACTCCTCGGCGTTGAGAGTTTTGCTGCCATCGTCGTCCATCACCCGAAAAGCTCTGCAAATGCAAAATAAAATGGTGAATCAAAGCGAGCACCGCAAAAATAATTCCCAATATGAATGGCAAAATGAAAATATATTCCTACTATTGCCACGGGACAAAGCGAGTCGGATAAGAATATGCCATTGATAGATACTCGGGCATAAAGGGGACGGGCGAAATGGGGGAGGGAGCTCATTCAGCTATGCATTCGATGCATTGAATTTTCCGGCTGGCAAACAAACAAATTGCATAAATACAAATGAAAATGCGCGCTCACGAGGACGAGGCCAATAGGCGCAGCCACCATCCGACCGACAAGCCAACAAGCAAACAAATGCACACACCGTACATATGTTGCAGATGCCAGGATTTTGTACAAAATGTCTATATATTCAAAGCGGGAAATTGTTAGCAGACAGCCGGGCGGCAAAAAACAGGTGGAGGCGGTGGGCGGTGGGTGGTTCAGGGTGGGCGGGGCAGGTTCCAGGTGGCAGCGGTTTGCTGCCAGCAGCTCAAATTGAAATAAAAACTAACAGTGGATTGTGGAAAAGGGGGCGTGGCAGGTCCCTGCACCAGAGAAAAACTGCATTTTCAAGGCTAAAATATGAACTAAAAGTCGAGTTTAAAACAAAATTGAAATGGCTTAAATAAAACACATAAAACTGTTTTTTAAATTTTTGTGAAGCTTATCAATTTTTATCAACTAAATTTTCTTAGAAGATATCATTTTGCTTTTATTTTGAATTTATGCTTGTTTTTCTTTTTTTTTATCCCACTATCAAACTTTGGTTTCTAAAATTTTTTGAAGTGTAGCTTTATTCGACAGCAACTACAGAAATCCAATTATGTTTGTTTGCATTCAGTCAGCGATTTTTGCCACTCCCACTCAGCCTCCGTTTCAGTCTTCCAGCGAGCTTCATAGTTATAGTTTTTTCTATTTCCTCTTTTTTTCTGCCGTCCTGCACACACTTGAAAGCGCTTTCGAGAATGTTAGTTCAACATGCACTCGAACTCTCGGCGTGCTCGTATTTACATGCGCCTAGCTGAGCCTGAACTTAACATCATCATCGGAGGCAGCAGCAGCGGTAGCAGCAAAGTTTCAGTTTCATTTGCCATATTTTCCTGCCAAGCCTCGGCCATCTTCACCTACCCTTCTTCTGGCCATATATGTTTTAGGTATCGTCACTTGTCGGACCCTCAACAGTTTCATCACTTTAATACTCCATGTGGAGGTGATGCGCTTCACAAGAGGCTCGTCTGCATTGAATTCCTGCCGAAATGCCTTGTACTTGTCCAAATTTCACAATTGGGGCATACTAGAAAAGCTGAAAATGTACATATTCCCTAGAGAACCAATGTGTTTTGTCCAATTACTTGCTAATTAATTTATAGAATCTATTGACAATTGCTTAACTGAAAAAATAATATCTAAAAAAAAAAATAATATCTAATATCTAAAGGGATTTCAACCTACTACAAGTAGTTTTAGGTAACCTATGTATCATATTTTTGCATCATATTTCTTTATGGAAATGCATATAAGAAACGAGAAGGAAACAATCCTTCGCATGGAGATTTGAGGAACACGAACAACCAAAGTGGAGCACCATTATGCAAACAGGAAGCCTCAATCTACCGCTTCCTAAGCAAGTTATTTCATCGAATCAAGGGGATTGGGGGAGAAGGTCTAGCGGCGAAAGCCAACTCACCTGGATAAACCCAAGATTCCGGTGGCACCGCGGCTGAAGCACTGCAGGCGCAATTTGTAAATTGGATCCTTGTCCAGCCCGTTGGCCAACTCGCGCCTGGCCAGATTCTTTAGGGCGGCCTCCTTCCCATAGGCGTTCTCGCGTTGCATCTGCGGAAAATAGATTCACACATTTGAATGAAACCCTTTAAACATTAAAGTTCTACAAATGATGTCTCCCTGAGGATAAGCTTATTGTACAAAGTAAAGTTAATGCTTTTGAAAGGTACATGTTTTAATTTGAAAGTAATATGAATCAAATAAAAGTCAATGTCATACTTAATGTTTATATGTACCTATTATTTTTAATATTTAACTCAATAAATATTTATTAAATTCCTGTCAGGCTTTAACAAGTTGTCAGTCAAATTAATAAAGCAACAACGTCGTTGCTACATATTAAAACAGAGCTTGAGATTTGTACATAAAGTAAAGACATATTTATCATTCGTTTATTTATTTTTGTGTGGCTTCAATTAACATTTCACTTCCCTTTGTTGTGCCTAAGCCCGCTTATAAGCTGTCAATTAGCCTCAGGCGATTACCGTGAAATTGTTTGATATTTAATTTTTGTGTTTATGCTGCTACAATAATTGTCAGCTCGGCAAATACTTTTCTGGCCCCGAATTCGATGGGCGTTGGTTGTCGGGCTGCGACAGTCATGGCCGAGGGCTATTACACCCGGAATTGATTTACTTTAGCTCAAAGGCGCCTAATTACACCGGGCGGTGGTAAACAAAGCCATCGTTGCCTGTCTCTAAGTAACCAAAAGCCCCTTTGTAATTTACCGAGTTGATTTACATTTTAAATGAATGTGGCCAAATATGACTTGCCAGTCACTTATGGAGCACTGAATTCACGGTTCAACGAATTGAAAGGCTTGGCTAAAATCTCTATCTTAATTGTCGATCTAAATCAAACAAAAACTTGTTCAATTAACAGATGCTCCATCAGCTCAGCTTAAGGCCTGCAAAAGACACATTTTTGAAAGGCTAAAGTTTGCAAACAGCGGACAGTAAACAAGGAAATCTAATTTGGAATAACTTTTAAATGTATTTGAATATAGCTAAGGGGACAAATATTGAAAATAAACAAAATGGAATGGTCGGCTACATCGACCATCAGATACAAGTAACGGATATAAAAAGAAATCAGTAGCGGATATATATACATATACGATTGGCAAAACTGAAAAAGTATTGCTTAAAACCTAAAGTGCGTAATTTTATAATGGACAAATTGGAAATCACTACAATATAAAAATCTATCTACTATAGATAGACAATACTTTTTTTGGTTTAATTTATTTTTAGAAAGTCTGGCATGCTTAAATAAAATTAAAGGACTTTAACTCCTGTTTTTATGACAGTGTGTATTGAGCACACCCACGACTGCCTACGCCTATTCGAATGAAGCCGAATGAACACGAATGAACTGATAGCGAAGCGGTGGGGCTTAACCCTGGCCAGGTGGCACTTGGCTCAATCAACTGTGACGACTCGTGGTCCAACTAGTTTGATTAGCACTCAATTTGGCCACCGAGGGTAAGTGTGTGCACTCACCTCAATATTTCACGCATCACCACACAATAATAATAGTTTTATCTGTGCAGTGAAACCAATTGCATATCAGTATTGATTTATCAAATCTAAGTAAATTTGATTCTGATAATGAAATGAATTAACATCATTTAATAGCGATTAAGTTAGAGACTTTATTTCCATTGTGTTAAAAATAATTACGTAATCCAATGCTCGATGAATTTTGTACATCTATTTTTATTACAAGAGTAATTTAATCCGTGTAGTCATCGTAATGAAATAAACGTACCCCAAATAGTCCAATGTTTTCTTTTCAAATCAATAACATTGACTTTGTTACTCATAGGGCAACGAAAATACAGAATATCGACCTTGAGACCTTCGATGGGAGAAAGGATGTCGAGGCCGGGAAATTACATCGATTGATGTGATTTGAATAACTGGCATGTCAGGCTAAATAAACAAGCTTTTACTTCAACTTTTTTTCGTATGTATATACGTAGCATATTTATATCCGCCGGGAGTCCCATTCCTGATGACCCCGTTAGATAGTCCGTTAGACAGTCACGACTAATGCGGCGTGAGTAATGAACGGTGCTCTAATTAGCTGCCCCAGGTGGCACTTTAGTGTGCTTGGATGCCACACGCCATTCGGTCAGGGGTCACTGAGAAAAAAAGTTAATTTCCTAAGTGGGAAATCCTAAAAACAGAGAAAAGGCGTTTACAACTCTACAAAATATGTATAACAATTTAAGGGACTTCAATGCCGTTTTCCTTTTTTATATAATACAGTTTTAGAATGAGACATATCGTTTAAGAATATATGGCGCTTGATTTTAAATGCTGTATTCCACTTGAACTTTTTTTTAATACAGCTTTAAAGAACTTAAGATCGGTTTTAATGACTGCAAAACTGCAGAGCTTTCTTGAAGGCGGCTTTCCGCGTCTTGGCAACAAATGTTGCCGGGCAACAAATGCACCTTCGACGGCAAATTGCAGCATCCTTGCCGGAAGTCAAGGTCGTCCGCAGTATCGATTTCGCCCGGGCACTCAGTCCATCCTTATAATATAGCGCATACGCCACGTATGCAAAAAGTGAAATGCCAACTAACGAGGGGAAAAATATAGAAAGCCGAAAGGAAGAGATGCTAACGAACTGCGATAGAACATGAAAAATAAATTATAGCTTTATTGAGGGTAAGGGTAAACAAAAAGACGATTTAACACGTCAGCAGGACGCTGAGTGCGACGGGGATAATGGCGACACACACACAGGATATGGGATACAGGATACAGGGGACAGGAGACAGGAGAGTTGCAGGACAACGGCAGAAGACCTACAGCAAATAAAGCAAATAGGTCACGTTCAAAGACAACATCGATTAACCATAAATTGCGAGTTAAGCAAAAGGCAGCGAGGACAGCGTTAAAAGCCGGCAGAAGGACCAAGAACCTGACTGAGTTTAAGCATGATTTGTGCGTGTCTTTATGACACCGAACACCAGATTCCGAAACTGTTGCGAATATACGTACGCAATATATAGAGTTGCGATGACATGACGCTTGTTTCGCTAACAAGCAAAGTATCGGCCACTGACAACGCCAGCTGTCCCCAGAAAAAAAAAGAAAAAGGTGAAGAATAAAGGAAAACGAGGAGCCAGCACAGCAGAAGGAGTGACATGTGTTTGGGAAAACTTTCACCGTAATTAACAGACATGTCGATTATTTCTTTGCCACACTTTTTACCTTTCCCGGCAGCTGCTGACACTCAGTGTCTATTATTATTTTATTCCAGTTTCAACAGTTTCAACGGTTTCAACTTTTCACAATGCACAATGTCGCAGCAATACGGAGTTTTCCACGCACGTGTCGCGTGTGCGGAGCGTTGGCAACGAATGAGGAAAAGCCACCACCACGGGGGCAACCATTCAAGCATTGCAGCTGTAGATAGTTTCCGAGCCCACACCCACAAGCCCATCGCCAAAAGCGGCGTCCTTCCCTAACTAACAATCTACACAAAGAAAATAAGTAGTCTTCATTTAAACAAGTCAAATAGAAGTGTTGGTTTTCTTCCTGAACGCTAATAACATTTATAATATTATTGGATTTCAATTTGCTTCTTATAGTAGTTTTTTATAATTGCTATTATCTTACCTCTCAGTGAGAACTTTCAAATTAATTAATTCTCAGTGTACTGTAAAGAAAGCTTAGCAACACACTTATTTTGCTGCCAATCGACGTCGGATGCATAGATACATTTTTACGCGAGCTTTTGTGGCTTGTCGCACTTTGTTTAGCTACATTTTTTGAACTGTTGTTCCCCTTTTCCGTTTGTTATTGGGGTGCTCAACTCACCTTATTGGAACAACGGGGGTATATCGCGCTTTTACGACGCAACACGGCATTATCATTACCGCTTTTTGTGGTGTCGGAGTGCATAAAATTTATGCGCCCATATCATACATCCGTTATGCCAAATTGATGCGCGCTTTATGAATTTTATCTTCCATTCGAATACTCTTCAGAGTTGCTATATTTTGCTGAAAAAAATTCAGTAATTCATTATAATTTTTAAAATATATATCTACATAAGAATAATTATTTCATAATTGTAAATCCAACAAAAAAATATTATCATATATTATCATATGATCAATTAATGTGTTTTACATTTTTGCTTAACATATTTTATGTCATGGTTTTGTTTTATTAATTGTAAGTTAACATAAAAAGTGCATATTAAAGAACACCAATTAAATTCAAATAAAAGGTAAAAAATTCGGAAAAAATTCTGCAAATTTTAATAACAGTTCCGTAAAAGTACGCGTTAAAGAGTATCAACTTTCTCGTTTTTCTTTTAGGTGAGGTTTATTACTTGTTTACAAAACCAACATTACTTTGATAGATTTTTTGTTGACAATGTCACGGTCGCTTAAATTTTATTTCACTGACAACGTAAATTTTAAATACCTCTAACAATTCAAATAACTTAGGTGTAAACAAACAGTTCATGAGAAACGAATCAAAACTGAATTCTCTTTTGAATTGTATTATATCATTTTTGCAGACGATTGTAGAATTCCCTCGAATTCAAAAAAGTTTAAGGGAGACTTAAACTCCCAATGCAAAGGAAAAATCTTACACGCTTTTTGTTCTTCTGAAGCACTTTTTTAAAAGTTGAAAAATATTTTCCCCGCGTGCCATTATCTTCATTGTCAGTGCTCTCGTAGCATTTCTCATTTGGGGTAATGAAACGGTTGACGCTCTTATGCTCGTGGGTTTATAAGTAAGAAAGATTGCCCCATCATGTGGGGAAGATTTGCGCCTCCCTGTTGGCCAACCGCTGGCTGTCATCAGCTGTCCCTATTCCCCCTCTAAACCCCCCTTTAAACCCCTCTTTTAACCCCCTGAGAAGTCCCCCACTTCTTGGCCATATCATTTTGTCAGCGGCATTCGGCGTGCATGTGTGCATGGCTCGGTGCTTTTTACTGTCAACTACATTCTGTCAAATTACTTATGCAAATCTTTCAACTTTACAAGCGCGTCGTTGCCACGACATCAGCAACACACCCCGCACCTCATTTCACCTCCTTTCTTTCTTTCTTCCGTTCTATTTTTGATTTTTTTTTTTGTTATGGTAAGGGCAGCGTAAAAAGCTCGTTTAGTGATGCTACTCAAGTTATTTTCCCAAAGAAAAATTACGTTCAAAGCCTGACATGAAGTGGCTGCGATGCCGAGATGCTGCTCATATCACGCACAGTCACACACAGTCGCATTTGGGGGCGTTGGAGGGAATTGGAGGCGTGGCCAGTCTCGTGGGCGCACTGGCCATTCATAAGCGAGGGCGGGGCACTGCTGCTGGCTCTTCTTTGCCCAAGAACAGTCTACTAAAAACCTATTTTGAATACCGCGCCACGGCAACAAAGTGTTGGCCAAGCATCGCAGGTATTAGACAAACAAAGTTGCCAGCCATCGGGCTAAAAAACGTGGAAGGCGGAACCCCTTTTCGCCATTGCAGGTCCTGAATGAAGACAGAGAGAAAAAATGTCCTTTAGCTGCAAGTCTTATTCCCGAATGGCCTTACATAATAGTTTTTAAAATGATTTACAAATTGAAATTTCCTTCTTGTTTTCCCTTCCTACAAATAAATGAATTCAAAATTAAATTCAAAATTGTAGTATTTATTTTCCTGACCTATTTATTTAAAAATGTCCTTTTTATTCATATTTATATTTATTTTATTGGCTATACTAACTCTCAGTGTCCACCTCTTTTTCTCGTCTATGCCGAGAGCTTTGTGCGCTTATAAAATAAATAAAATTTATGCTGCGACGCATTATTGCCATGTCCTTTGTCCTTCGTCCTGCCCTCCGAAGCCATTCACTCGCCGCTGTTGTTGTATTTAAAAGATGACAAATCGTCGGCAGGTGGAAATGTGGGGGCGGAGGAAACTTCGTCAGTGAAACTCATTTTGTGGCACTGATAAATTTGTCGTCTATAAAAATGCTCCTGCAAATTTCAGATGCCCTCGAATTTTAGTGTTGTTTTGTTGATAACAAAGAAATAAAAAGAATAAGTAGGTATAATGTTTTACTTGAAATTTTTGATGAGTAATATCTTATGAAGTAAATAAAATGTAGAAAAAAAAAAATTTTAATATTTGCAATGCCTGGTAAACACAAATTTTTTTTGTAAAAGTTCGAAATCTGTGAATTGCTGTGTAACATTTCCAGACATCAATGTGAAATCTATTAAACTATTTTAATACGTTTCTTTCCATATTTTCTTATGAAATATTATAGTTGTGAGAAAAACTTACGGTATTAAAAAGTTCTTCATCTACAACAAAGTCATTTCGCACTGCTTATGATAAATACTTTGCCTTTGTCTGTACCTGGCCACTTGAATCCGACAGAGCTGCTGATGATGATGATGATGCTGATGGTGGGAAGCAGGTAGAAAATTGGACGGAGGGCGGTCCAACTCAACTCAGTCCATTATTTATGAGCGTGTTGACATGGAATTATTCTTGGGCTCTATTGTGCTGGCCACGGAATAGGCGACTCTGTGGTCTTCGTTTCCTAGCATCAGGCGTGCAAAATTCCAGATAACTTGCCACTCGAAAGGAAAGTTAAGAGGTCCGCAGAGAGCGGTCTGCAAATATTTACTTAATTAGTGAAATGGCGACCTCGACGACCTACGCCCATTGCCACGCCCATTTGGCCACCCAGTGGGCAAGAAACAAAGCCTGGCCAAGGACTTAAGGCGGCTTTAAAGCTGCGTTTTATGGCCATTGAAATGCGTCGCATGAAAAGTGGAAGTGGCTGTCGCGGTTTTGTTGATTGTTGACCCGACGCTTATATTAATTGAGTTTGCTCTGGTTTTTGACCTTGGCGCTTACTTAATTGAGGACTTTCCCCCATCTCCCAATAAAATTCCGTTGCTTTGGCAACAATCAAAGAGCGAATCATTAATCATGGCCAAAACGGTTGGGTCATACATCATCGCCGGTTGGCAGGCGTTTTCATATGCATGATCTAATCGAATTTAGCAAATTGCAACACTGTCAATAAAGGACTGAATATATTTTCTTATTCTCGAACGATATGGAAAATCTGCATGGGTCAAAGGAGCTGCCGGCAAAACAATTTACTTGTAATATTTCACAAAAACATCAAACTGTCGTTGACAATTACTACAAGCTAACTTTATTTTATTTAATGAATGGTCCGGCTTGGCCAGCAGAAGAAGAAAGGATATGTGCGCAAGTACACAGAGAAAAATAAAGTTTATATAAGTTTCGGATGAATAATGATGTAATATTACATTTTGTGTGGGAAAATCAATTTACAAAACTTAGGAAAAATTGTTAAGAGCATATTGAGGCTTAGTTTAGAGTGTTGCATGGTTAGATTTTCTGTTGTAATATTCATCAGAAGCAGAATCAATGCATATCTGATCTTATATCTGGTATGATTATTTATTTTATCCAGTGCACCAAATAGATGTTCGTGAGCAACGCCTAAAATAACTTTGTTCCTTGTAATAAATTATGGTCATGGACAGCTTCTTCTTTCGCCTGCCAGGCATCCTCCGTTCACTATATATATATGTATATATGCTTAAATCTGCCCAACTAGAGCCACATGGAGTGCACATTTTAAATACCTGATTCTGCGCCGCAAATTGTCCATTGTCTGGTTCCCAGCATCAACGTTAACGTCGTTGTCAGGACGATGGTGAAATCCTCGAGTAATTTGCAAATATTTCAATAGAATATTGCATGCAAAAAAGGCGAAACATATGCGCCACACATGGGGCACCGCTTTCCCGTCCGGGCATCTGCAACAATAAATTTTAAACGAGAGCGAGAATTGAATGGTGAACGGTGAATGGTGAATGGGGCGATGTATCAACTCCAACTCCGTGGAAGAAGGCGAGTTGCGAGTACAATTGCGCACTCAGTCACATTGAATTCTTCGCCCATGTCCAACCTGTGTGGCTCCTATTAATCGGAGACAAAGTTCTGGATGAGATGGAGGGGGTTCTAGTGGATGTGGCGATGTGCAATTTTATTAAAACTCGAGGACAATGGATCTAACAGGAGTTTTCACACCTTCTGCTTTTCGTGTCGGACCGACATTTGCAAATCTAATTGCAGTGAAGTTGTGTTAAACATTATGTTAGGTTATAAAAATGTTGCAGTTTAAGGGTTATTAAACACATGTTATATTAACATAGTCAACACAAAAGGAGAAAGAAAAAAAGTGTGATAAAAATCGTATTATTTTAAAGTTTCTTCTATTACAAAAAAAAAATGTACATATCGAATCATAAAAAGTTGACACAGTTAACCTATTTGTTTATTTTTGCTATCGTAAT